CACGGCAAAAACACAAAGGCAAGAGCTAACTCCAAGTATACTATGTTCGACAAACCTGCAACTGGACCATGAAAAAGTTGTACATCGTGACATACTGCACATTGTAAAAGTCGCCAAAACTAAGAGCAGCAACCTGTACACCAGACCATTATCAGTATCAACCAGCTATAGCCTATATGACAAAAAAGAAAACAATCATTCATTATGCTCCTACAAACCTCGGTCAGACACTGGAGGGCCAGATTTCGATATGATGCCATTGGGAAATACTTCAGAAGTGTTTCCAACTGGATTAAAAAGAAAGGGTAATGGGCCATTACATTTGTGAAAACACGGCATCATTGGAAGGAAGACAAACAAAAGCAAGTTGAATAAGTCCACATGAGCAATGATGCATGATCAAGTTCACATACCAGCGGGGATTCAAAAATGTAGCCCAACGGGATCCAAGAAAGAAAAGCATGTAGAGTAGACAGTGTTGCTCGAATGAGCTCTGTTCTTTGAGATGCCGAAAGTACGTATAAGCATAACTCATGAATGAGTTGAAACTCGCTGCAAATTACCACAAACAAAATTTGGGGTAAAACTTGTTCAGGATATAGCACACTACAGCGTTCCATGTAAATATATATATAAATAGAGTAACCTACAGTTGATAACAGTAAGCCAGAGAGTTCAAATAAACAGAGCAATACAGAAGATACAGTAACAAGAAATCCAAGACATGATACAATCTCTGTATAAGTCTGCTAATAATAGCGAACAAGGGCTTGGTACACTGGTCTAGAACCTGGAAGAGGTCTCAAGTTCGAATCTCTTAAGTACCACCTAGCTAAAAGCCAACCCTATATCACCCTCATAAGAAAACGCCTGCTAATAATAATCAATAATATATACAAGCTACAATCCCAGAAAAATACCTGTTCAAGGATTGTTTAAGTTCCTTAATCTTTTGCTGGGTCATCTCCCCTCGAGAGAAATCAAAAACTTCTTCACTCAGAAGCTAATAGGAAAACTTTGTCAATACCAAACAGCGCTAACATATTCAATAAAGAAGATAGCAGAACAAAAGGAGAAATAACTCACTTTCAAAATTGCCATGCAATTCTCACAAATTGTTTCACTGGTTTTTGCAGCTGCTACTAGATCAGGAATAAAACTACGCCACCTAGATGGCCATTCATGCTTCAAAATCTGCACTTGGGTCATTGTTAAAGTGATATTAAAGCAATATCACAACATAGGAAGTTCTACAGAAAGTTATCAACAAGTTCGAATATTTTCGTTCAATCAGCAAGCATTGTAATCATGCATACCAGCACATCGGTAAAATGTCCAAAAGATGACAAAATTTAGCGAGAGAAAAATGCAGAAGTGATAGCTTTCTATAAAAGAACAAATCAATTCTTTTCAGCCCAGCAAACAAACCTGGACTAAAATGACATTGAGCTTGTTCACGTACAGCCTTTCTTGACGAAAAGAACTCTCATTACTTGAAAGCTAAGACAAAATGTTGGAAGAATAATATCAAAATAGAGTAAGAAATCTCCCTGCTTAGATAAAATGGGAATCAATAGAAAACCTCCAAATTCAAGGACTTATTACCTGCACGATGACTTCAGATATGTAGTTCTTCATCCCATCTCGTTGCTCTCCTGGCAATGCATTCCATCTGTACTTTATAACACCCTCTAGGACCTAGAGGGAGTTGGGGGGAAAAAACAGTTTCGAACTCAAACCTTCCACTCATGAGAAAATAGTAACATAAATGCAAGGTACAGCATAGGCTTTGCAAAAAATCAGTTCAACTTGACATCACATAGGCTATTCACCGCATTCATCAAGGAAAATAACTAGCGAAAGAAGAAGAAAGCTCATTCCACCCCCTCAACAAGCTCCAATTAATAACATATAACCTAGTTCTCCTAGTTCGGTAATTAAACAGCCCCAGGAGGTCCACAAATATTAAACACCAATATGTCGAGCTCTATTTGGTTACATATTCAACAAACAAACAACTTCTCCGGCTGCAATAACCACACCCCAGAATGATAAAAGCTGATACTCCATTCCTCTCCAGAGCCATCAATGGCCATACATCTGACAGATGCATCTCATACCAAATTGGACATAGCATCAGAAAAGAGCACAAGAATGGGAACATTAATAAGTTCAGCAACCTAAAGGGACTACAAAGCTAAATTCTGTCTACGTACATGCAGATGATCGGGAGGAACACCAACAGAACCCATGCACCAAAGAAAGAGATCTAGCGCATCCAGTGCGACATTGTCGCTTGTGAATCTATTTAACCCTAGAACTGAAACTTATGGAACAGAGCTACAATATCAGTAAAGCTAGAGACAAAAAAGAAAAAGAACCAGAATTTCCATAACGAAGTGTCCATGGCAAAATAACATGATCCAGAAATTTTCAGATAAAATGGAGAGCAAAAGCTGCATTCAGATTGCTCTTAGCTAACAGGGCCAATATCTATAACCACCATTCCACCTGCCATAGTATCACAACAACAAATAGTAACACAAAGCTCACCTGCAAGGCAAAGAACTTGGTATTCATATTCTTTGTGTTCTGCAAAATGTGCACCACTTGGAGCCACATGTCTGGATTACCTTGCAATTCCTGCAAAATCCTATCCGCTGCTGCTCTCTACCATCACATGAGGAAAGCAGAGAGTGGAAAAGAACGGGGGGAGGGCAGACAGCAAAAGCGTTAGGCTAACAAATTGGTGTACTATACCTATCTAGTCAGACAGAAAGGAAGGACAATTCGGTAACACCAAATTGAGGAGGTAGGAAAACTAAGCATAGCACTAAACCTTCATACATGGCAGGGAAGTGATATTACATAACCGAAACTAAAAGCCAAATCGGGAAGGTGCATGAGTTCGTCCACAACAAAATAAAGTCAAGCATCCAAATCACAGTTGGATAATTACAGCTACAACCCTTCAACAAACGCTCAAAGCAAAAGGTTCTTGCACCATTTTCACAGCAATGCCCGCCATACCCAGCAAACCGGAAGGCGCAACCAAAACTATGATGATAAGCTGCCGGCAGCCATCCTATTTCGGCCATCCAATAACTGAAGACAGTACACATGCCTCATTTTAAACCAATTTAGCTTGCAACAAACTAAGCAAAACTCTGGCCACCTCCGAAGCGTAAAGTGCCAGCAGACCACTAGACACACCTCTACTCCACCGCCACTACAAACTCAACTCCCGCCAAAAAACGAACTCTACCTGCCCTAACGATCAACAGTACGATTCCCAGTCTCCATTCTCGAAAAGCGGGAGGAAATAAGAGCAAAAGAGAGTGGGGATTACCTCGTCCTTAGATCCAGTGCCGTAGAAAGCACCGACGGTGGCATCGAGCAAGGAGACATCAATAGGCTGGGACAAATCCCTGAGTCGTTCGGCGGCCAGAGCGAGGGACGCCATTTTCTGGAGGGGTTTTGTCGAGGATTTGACTGGGGTTACTGATAAACCCTAAGAACAAGAACAAACAGAAAGAGCCGTGGCGCAAGCAGAGCAGTGTTGTGCAATCTCTCTTCTCTACCAGTCTCTACCTAGTCCCCGCAGTGGAGCGGCCTCCGAAACCCTAAGAGAGAGGGAGGGAGAAGGGGAAGAAGAAAAAAAAAAGAGGGAAAATTTTTCTAGAAGGAAGAGGGGGGAAAAGAAGAGTAAAAGGGTTTTATGATTGTGTTTGCTGTTTGGAGTGTTGTAGACGATAAAACAACCAGTCGTTTGAAAGAGAGAAAAACAAAGGTACAAAGAGTTGGCCAATGGCGAGACTGCTTAAATTGTAAGCAGACCAGCAGGCAGCGGAAAATAGAGAGATACGGACTGTGGGGAGGAAGAAGACTGACGTATTTGTTATTTTTCCAAATTTTGAGGGGCAAAGTGCAAGAAAGAACAATTTTGTGGGAAGGGCTCGGGAGCGACCGGAGATGTGCAGGAAAGGAGGTTTCAGTTTCTTTTCCTTTTCCCTTTCTTTTTGGATGAAGTTTTGAAGTTTGAAAGGGACCTCGGGGGCCGCTGCTCGTCTCCTATGTTTTGCAAACAGGTGGTTTGCACTTTTTCAATATCTATCTACAAAATATATAATAGCAAAACATCGTTTAGATTATCAGGAATTCAAATTTCCAGCCACCAGAGGTTTTCCCGGAAGGGTATATTTGTCATTTCATCCCGGTTAATTGAAACCCTGCGTTTAAGTTTTGGCGTAGATCCTCTCACTCGACAGCTCAAATCGCGACTGGGCCAAATAAAAGAGGCCCAAATCAAGCCGGCCCACCTACGGCCCCAAACACCTGCTAGAGTCTCCGCATGTCAAGTACACCCTTACAAGTATGAAACCCTGCATTTTGGCTCAGACATTTGTTTCCCTCACGCCAGTAGTTTTACTTCTTCAATCGAAGCCCCGCCAGGTAGTCTTCCATCGGAGGACATGAACCAATCGCACCAATTCCCAGCCATTATATTGATGAAATTGCAGTGGGTAGAGTTAATGTTCCTCCGGACAGATGTAGATAAGTGTCTTTCAATAGGTTTTGATCAATGCATGCAAGATGATGAGACCTTTTAAACTATAAGACTAATCAAGAGGAGCAAACACAATGAGACTCAACATCCTAAATCTAAAATTCGAGACATCTTCTTCCTAATTCCAAACTGAACTCTTCAGCCAAATTTGCGCTTTAAGGCTCTGCACTCAAAGAGCAAGTGAAAGAAAGAGAAGATGGATTGGGAAGTGGAAGAGGCAGAGGAAGATGGCCCAAAGTTGTGGATTTGGATGACCATGGGATTGGAGTTACTCCCTATGCAGACGAAGTGTATATGCTAGAAAAGAAAAGAGTTTTTAGTGAAAATCCCAACCCACCACCATGTTGAACTCCTGCATGCAATCGATCTTCTGGTCTGATGAACTTGAACGATGGCATATAAATCACAAAATCTCCAAGCCACCACCCCCAATGATTCATGCAAGTGGATTCTATATGGATCTTCTTTGAGGTTGTCAAACCCAACTCCAACTGTTTTGAATTCACGCATGCAAAGACGCAAACATCGCCATCGCCTGCATGTCAAGTACACCCTTACAAGTATGAAACCCTGCGTTTTGGCTCAGACATTTGTTTCCCTCACGCCAGTAGTTTTACTTCTTCAATCGAAGCCCCGCCAGGTAGTCTTCCGTCGGAGGACATGAACCAATCGCACCAATTCCCTGCCATTATATTGATGAAATTGCAGTGGGTAGAGTTAATGTTCCTCCAGACAGATGTAGATAAGTTTCTTTCAATAGGTTTTGATCAATGCATGCAAGATGAGACCTTTTAAACTATAAGACTAATCAAGAGGAGCAAACACAATGAGACTCAACATCCTAAATCTAAAATTTGAGACATCTTCTTCCTAATTCCAAACTGAACTCTTCAGCCAAATTTGCGCTTTAAGGCTCTGCACTCAAAGAGCAAGTGAAAGAAAGAGAAGATGGATTGGGAAGTGGAAGAGGCAGAGGAAGATGGCCCAAAGTTGTGGATTTGGATGACCATGGGATTGGAGTTACTCCCTAGGCAGACGAAGTGTATATGCTAGAAAAGAAAAGAGTTTTTAGTGAAAATCCCAACCCACCACCATGTTGAACTCCTGCATGCAATCGATCTTCTGGTCTGATGAACTTGAACGATGGCATATAAATCACAAAATCTCCAAGCCACCACCCCCAATGATTCATGCAAGTGGATTCTATATGGATCTTCTTTGAGGTTGTCAAACCCAACTCCAACTGCTTTGAATTCGCGCATGCAAAGACGCAAACATCGCCATCGCCTGCTATTCATCTCGCTCCCCCATTTTTGAAATTATAATTAAGGACAAATAGAATGGGCATCAAGCTTCTCCTCTCTCTGGGAGTTTTTGGATTATAAGACAGAAAAAGGACTGACATAATGGAAACTAAAGCCTAAAGATCGTAGTAGTAAAGAATTAGTACAAGTGGTTGGGTACCATTTGTTGCATGGAATGAAGCTTACACGTGGATGCTAAAAAAATTATATGGGGGTCGTTTGAATGCAGGATTGTAATGAGGGATTTGTGAGTGGTTTTAAAACAATCTCTCATTGTGCAGGATTTTAAAACAATCTTGCGTTTGGAAAGACGAGAGATTGTATGCATCAAGATTTTTGAAAACCCACATGTGTGAGATTTCAAAATAGCTTATGGAGGTCAGCTATTTCTAAAGCCTGCATTTTTCTTCCAATTTTTCCAATGTTGACCCTTCCTCCGTGAGACCCTTTCTTCTTCCATTTCTCCTCCTCCTTCTAATCTTTTTCCTTCTTCCTTCCGGCGAGCAGCAGCAAGCCACCAACACCAAATGCATTTCTCATCTCCCAAATCCCATCCTTCTTATCTTCCCATCAATTTGATAAAACCAAATCTGTTTCTCATCTCTCAGTTTTCACCGTCATAGGCTGCTCCCTGCATATTCCGGTCAAGCAGCGGCATGGTGCCTTCCGGCGGCGATTCCAGATCCGGTCAAGCAGATGCAAGGCATCTCGTATTTCTGGGTTCTCTTTCCCGGCGCGATTCTCAACCCATCCTCCGCAATTTCGCCGGATCTATTAGCCTAAAGAAAGACAAGCTTTGGGTTCTAAATCTGGCTGCCGACGACCTCCTCTTGGCGGCATCAAATCCATCGTCTTGATCTGGGTTGAATTAAAGTCGGAGGTCGAATCAAAGTCGTTCGAACATGAAGTTCGAATCTGGGTTGAAGCTTGAAGTTCGAATCGAACTCAGAGGTCCTTGCCGTCGGGAAAGAGTTTGAGGAGGAAGATGACGAGCAGCTTCCAGAATACCCTATCTAGCGTGCGTGGTGAGACAACGACAGAAAATCGATCAGAGATGATGGTCTGGATTTTCTTTTCTGGGTTTGATGCCGCTAATTTTTGGGAACGAAGATGAAGGAAGAGGGGCAAAATTGTATTTTGCATTTTCTCATTAAAAACCCAGGCTTATAAACAAACAAGTGATTTATTAAAATTCCTCGTATTAAAAACCTAGGTTTTTTAAACGAGGGATTTTAACTCAAATCCCTCAATATTACATTCCTTGATCCAAACGACCCCATGGAGTTAATGGCAAGTAATTAACAAGCTGGGAGTTTTTGGTTTGAGTCAAAATCTATATATTAAAAGTTTCATTTTCTTCATGAGGTGCCTATCTCAGTGTGTATCGGCCAAATGAAAAATAAAACAAACATATCCACGGAACGGTAATTAAAGCGTAGTATGTTAGTTTTCACAATTGGTGATTAACATGGAGGGAATTATCTAAACATATAAGTTGGTTATCTTATAGGAATTGTGATATTGCTTGATGAATGGGAATAATCGAATATTTAGATAAAATACATATGGATGTGTACAATCGGATGAGTTTTGATTGGATAGTGTGAAAATCATGTTCACTTATTGTCCGTAATATTGAAATTCTGATTTTATTCGTACCCACTGAAAATCCTTCGGACTCGAGTTTTACTCTATCCAACCAAATTGGACTATGATGTATTTTGGAGATACTCAAGATTGTGATGAAGAAGTCGATAAAGAGAGGGGTATTAAATTACTTTTTATTCATACACTGCATAGCGCGCGTGGAAAAATTGGAAATTATAATGGAGAGATGAGGTGGATCCTTTGATGATTATCATCCATTCATTTTCATAACATGTATTAAAGTTTTGCGCATTTGGTAAAACAACACTTGAGTTTGTATAGAAAACGTTAGTGATACGATGTTTATGTTTTCTTTCATTATCCCCATTATATTGACCCATAATTTCATTCCTTTCGTCTTCCCTTTTCTTTTCACCGAATTTGAGACTTTTTGTGACATCTTCCCCTCCTTCATAATCTACCAGAGTCTCTACGAAATGCACTTCCTTTTGTTGGTCAAAATCGCATTTCCAACTCCTGGATTCATTCGGATTTTTAGGTGAGATTAAATGCATAAATTTGGGCAAAAGTCCAGGTTATTTGCTCCCTACTTAAATTTGTATGAATATTCCCCAATAGTTTTCATGCGATTTCTAGGTTGGCTATAAGGGGACCCTAATTTCTTTCATGCGATTACACCCAGATTTTTCCTCATCAAGTGTATTCATTATTCATGCGATTTAAGTGCTTTAACATATGTATTTGTTTTTAGCTCTAGAAGCTAATTGTATCATAGTTCAAATTGAATTTTTGGGGTTAGGCATGTAACATTTAAATTTGGAAATGAATCTCTGTTACTGGGAGGAATTTGACTCCTTGGTCGTTGTGTCAAGGATTGCAACAATATTGTTGAATATGCATTGTGAGAGTAATTTGGAAATTTACCGGTACACAATACGTTGTCCAACTAACCATTAGTGACAATTTCGATCATATCCGATATATTTCAAATTTTGCAACTTCATATCCATTTCCCGCGCTATAATAAACAAGGATGTTGTCTACGGTGATCGGAGTTGGAGAAGGAGGAGGATTACTCCAATTGTTGATTTTCATGTGGTTAATGGGATACATACACATAGGGTACTAATAGCGTGCTAGCTTTATAATCGAGTAAATTGCAAGTTTGGTCACTCGAATTACTATAAAATTTCACGTTTGCCACTAAGATTAGTTTATTCCATTCATAGTCACTTAAATTAGTTTCGTAGTTAAAGTTTGGTCACTGACCGTTAGTCTCCGTTAACACCGTCAGTTAATTGCTTACATGGCTAACATAAATATCTAGTCACCCACTTTAAACCCAAAAAAATTAAAAACCCGACTTCCATGTCATAAAAACCAAATCGTAACTCATTCCAAAACTGACCTGACCCTCTCTTTCTCTCGCCTATCTCCTCTAGCACTCCTCGCCGCCGACCCTCTCTTACCCAGTGAAGCTCATCTCTCCTCTTTCTTCTTCTCCGGTGTAGCTGTTCCGCTCTCTCTCGGAAGATCCACAATGGGAAACTAGCAAAGTGCCTTGCGACGGCTGAACCGCTGGGCGGCGAAGCTGAGATTAGGGTTGCCTCTATCACCACCACTGTCGTCATCAATCGTCGAGCAAGGGAAGAATGACCCTGCTCTGCTCCCTCTCCGGCTCTCCACACTTCTTGAACACCAGAGAGACTTGGCTGCCCACGAACCCGACCGCTCTTCTCACCATTGATTTCCCTCTTCCGTGGTAGATTTGGGCACAACGACCTCCCAAATCCAGATCCGAGCAAGTTTAAGTGGAAGTTAAGAATGTTGCATGAACTACATAAATGTAAAGATTAGAATGCTAAAGGGTCACCACAAGATCTAGAGGGAACCGACGACAGCCCCATGAGATTTAAATTTTTTGGTCTCTAGAGAGAAGGGAGAATAATTTAATGCCAATAATTTAGATATACTCTCATGTGGTGGATGCAGATACTTTTGAAAATTTAATTAGTCAAACAATTCCTAAAAAGGAAATGTATGCATATAATAGATGTTGTGATATCCTATTAATATGGATCCTTGATGACACTATTTATATTAAACTCCCTAAAAGGTTAGTTTTCTAAAAGCAAACCTGTAACATTCTCGAGAACATTTATTGATTGGATGAAACAATCCCTTGTACGGATTGAGATGGAAGGGATGAATAAGGTAAATTCGCCTGAGTGAATATTTGGTAAAAATAAGAGCCTTCAGTGATTAAATCCAGATAAAGTGCACTAGAGCATTTGCATTTTGCATCTGTGATTGTGTAATGATATTGTCGAAACCAAAGGGCTCCATTAGTATGATAATGTTCTTATTGTACCAAACCCACACAGATTAACTTTTAGGTATCCTCCCCAAAAAGCCTCGTACTAATTGGGCTAGGTGGTCACTAATATACAAGGGTTTCTTCCCTTGTATTTACAATGTGGTACTTGGATTGTACCATAATAGTTCTCCCCTCAAGACAAGAACCACGAACTTTGTGTTCTTTCTTTGAGAATTATTTTGATTCGCCGAACACATTGTATCGTCCGGATTTTGGATACAAGGATTTACCATATCCATATCTCCATTGATTTGTCAGACAAACACGGATCTCCTTGATATGCTAAACAAACGCATATCTCAATTCTTGAGGTCGCCGAATGAGGGCCACCAAAGTGATGTCCACCACCCTGAATCGAACTCCAAACCAGGATCTGATACCACTTGTCAAAACCGAGTAGCTTTATTATTATGATATTGTTCGCTTTAGCTCAAATTCGTACCGATTTACTCTTGGTTTCCTTTCTAAAAGGCCTTGTACTAATTGGGTTTGGTGGGCACTAATATACAAGGGTCCTTCCCTTGTATCTCTGATGTGGTACTTGGATTGTACAATAAAAATCCTTCACTCAAGACAAGGACCACCAACATTGTGTCTTGCCTTAGTGATTATCTTGATTATGGTGCCTCCAAACAACTTTATGCATGCATTTGAAATTTGAATCATATAAGTGGCAAAATCCACATGCAATACATGCTTAACACGGCAAATTACTAATACGATTTTTGAAATTCCAAATACAAATCTTCATTATTCATACACACCCAAATTTTGGTTGGTCACAAGTGTTATATGACATAATAGTTCGGTCTTCATTTGCACTTGTATAATATAACACCTCCATCGGAGTGGTGGTTTAATGATAAGCCGATGAGAAACTCTTGTATGGCTCTCCTAGTGCCACCATATTTCCAGGTCGAGAGAACACAACCTGTAAAGTATTTTTTTTTTCAAATTTGAGTAACTTTTCCTCAGATTGTATGAACTCTTATGATTTTTGAGGAAACAAGTAGTTTTGGTAGAGTTTAAAAATAAAGTTAAAAATATATTTTTCGATTTTTTAAAATCATAGTTTATGAAATGAATAATTTAAATAATAATAAAGTAACAAAATAAATTTTGAGAAAACGACTACAATTAGCCTAGTATTAGGTTGAAAAATATTTTTGGCTTAGATTTGAGAAAAAAAGGGAGCAAACATGCAGAATTTAACAAAAATCAAGCATGTGTACCTGATAATCACCAAGCGTATAGGTTTTAAAACCAGCAGCACAGTAGTCAAAATAGTATTCCCACGTCCTTATGAACTTCTCGTCGAATCCCATCTCCAGTATTTCGCTATAAGAAATAAGAAAGTCTCACAATTTGAATATCTAATAAGATATCGGTACATATTTCAGCAAACAATTCCGTGAGAGAACGTTATAAAATTCATAATTAGTTTTCTCTCACTAATTGGTTTTGACAATATATTAGAGCAGGTTTGGATAAATGGACGACACCGTGTGTTCGAATTTTTGCGATCTCCATTATTAACGATGGATTTAAGCAATATGTATTGTAGACCTGTGCAAACTCCAAAGTTGTACATTAACTATTTTTTTCCCCCGAGTACATGCATGTTAGAAAGTGATTGTTTCCCGACCTTTTAGAGATAAATAATAATACTGGATCAATAATTAACATTTTGCCAACAACTTAAATAGCTAGTTACGAGATAAGCTGGTTTATGATAGCATGGAGAAGAATGGAGCACTGACCTCCTATGATTCATCAGGTTTTGCCTCCAGCATCTTAAAGTGTAAAAGTAATGACTTCCGATATTTTCCACATGCTCCACACTGCCAGTCATATTAACCCAAAAAAAAAAAAAACAAAGAGTTTTCAAATCATGGTTCCATTTAGCGTATTTTGAATTAAGCTACAAATTAATTCGATGAATGCATGGTAATTATTAAAAATATTTTTTTTATAATACTTAAATTAATTAATATAGGTACGTACCATAGCCGTGAAGAAGAATTCATGGCTGCTATAACTCTGGTAAAAGAGGGCAAGCAGCCACCAGGGAAGATATACTCTTTGATGAAATCCGAACTTTGACGATATTGATCGTACCGTTCATCAGGTATGGATATGAACTACGTAAATCGGAAAAGCAAATTGTTATCTGAATTTTAATTCAACAAAGATTTTGAAGCTATTGCAATATTATGGAATTAACATGTAAAGGATCTTAAATTAATTAATTAATTACCTGGAGAACAAATAATCCGTCTTTTGCCAAGACTGATTCGCATGAAGCGAAGAACTCATCCATGTATTCGTGCCCAACATGTTCTATCATTTCGCTGCAATAAGCGCATTTTGCTGGAATTATTACAAATAAAAGAACATGCGATAACCCACGTAATAACAAACGAGTCATTTGATATCAAATGAGTCAAACGAAGTCATTTAGTAGCAAATGACTCTATAAGTAAATGAGTAAATGCGGCCCATTGTTTTTATGAGCAATTCTACCATGCTTTAAAGTATCGGTGCTTTAAGTACAACTTAAAGTTGTACCATAACACGTTAAAGGTACAAATTGAAGTTGTACCATAACATAAAAGTATAACTTTAATTTGTACCGTAAAGAGATTTTACAAAAAGGTATAGGTACAACCTAAAAAGTTGTACCATAACGTTAAAAGTACAATTTCAAGTTGTACCACGACAGGAAAAAACTAAACCACATATGCTCCAGAGCATAGTAAAATTCCTCTTGTTTTTTATTAGTTGAATGAGAGAGAGAGAGAGAGAGGGAGAAGAATACATAATTAAATTTGAAGATGGAGCTCACCAGGAAACAATTCTGTCAAATTTCTTTGTTTTGGGCAACTGGCGATAGTCGCATAGCAACAACTGAATATGATCCTGAAGGCCAGCTTCGTTGACCTTAGCCTGTGCATACTGAAGCTGCTGTAACGACAGAGTGATGCCAGTGTAATTGCACCCAGTTCGTTTCACTACTTCGATGGCAAAGCTTCCCCACCCGCAACCTATTTCCAGCACTTCTTGCCTGTTTCCAATCCTTGCCTGCAACATATTAACAATTGTTGTATACGTCCACTTAACTTTTATATATAGTAATGGCTGGCGTACGTCAGGTGATCTAGCTGTTAGATGTACTTAGATGAGCTCCGGCCGATCTCAACGGTCAATTTTTGTTTCCCATATATATATATATACTTTCACAAAAAAAAAAAAGCTTATATATACTACATCGTAATTGCATGATAAATAATTATTTGTAATGTATTGCCAAACCGCCTATTTCTTAGCTATCATTTTGCTTGCGGGATTTGGTGATGGATTTGGCACCCCATATATCTCAAACATCATGGAATTGACACAAAACCATTGTTTGTTAAGGGACACAAATCCATAGGGTCCACGGATTTGGATCATTTTTTTAGATTCAAATCCGTGGACCCCACGGATCCCCGAATTTGCAAATCTCACATTTTATTTAGGATTTGATAATGGAAGGCAAACATATGAGGCAAATCCATCGTAAATCCATGATAAAAGATCAACTAAACAAACAAATGTACTCTTCCAAATCCATAATACAACCAATTCATCATAAATTCAAAGATTTCTCAAAACCCTCATTTTCAAATCCAACAAGCAAACGAGCCCTTAGTTACTTTAGATGGCGAGCTAGCTACACTCGAGTTATTGCAACAGAACGAGCAGCACATTCAAAGAGGCTACTGCATGCATGCATGCGTTTGCGTTACCTTTTGAATGAGGGATGAGATTTTCCTGAGTTGCGCTCCCTTCAAGTCGTCATCATCTTCGTTCTGAGTTGGATTATGAAACCAAGCAGCCATCAACGAGTTTAATTATGATACATATAATCAATTTATTTTGGAGTGGGAAAAATAATAATTAAATGAGTAAAAAATATATGTATATGATCACCTTGAATATTCCGGAGGAGTAGGTCATGGTCTCGTCCAAAAACAAGGCGAAAAACTCGTTGCTCTGCACAGTAATCCCAGTTTATATTAACTCTTAGTTTGATAATAATCATAATAATAATAATTAGTGAGCAGTAAGTACCAAATCGTAATGACGAGAAATGTTCCGGCGGGCTTGAGTTAGAGAATTGTTTCTCATCACATGACGCAATAAAAAGTTTGCTGACGAGATAACACTGGCCGGTGTCCACCATCCCCTGCGTGCAGAGTTGATTGATTAATTAGAATAACGATTATAATTATATATTTATTTATTTATTTATTTATTTGGGGAGTTGAAGGCTAATAACGAAGGTCGATCAGTACGCGCTTATATACCTGTTGTTGGAGTTGAGCTCCGACTTGTTTCCGTCTCTATTAGCAATGAGGAGCTGCAAAAAAAGAGAGAAAGCCAAGAAAACCCAAGTTAGTTTGCAGCGGATTAGATCTTATTTACAAGTGCTTATTTTATCACTCAATGTTCGTTTGAAGTAAAGAATTTCATAAAATCTCTAAATTCTAGAAATATAAAATCTAGAAGAAAGAACGAATTGCTAAAACCAACGTTTTACTTAAACATATAACATATGCTGCTTGACGTTAGCTAGTTATGTAATATGATTATGATCACATGAACTTATTAACATGGAGATCCAATAATATCGAAGTAAAACTTAACGAGAACATTGCGAGATGCAAACTATGGTTTTGTAATCATATCGTACCGGTGGTTCATTCGCAAAATATTAGTACACGAGGCTAATTAAATTAATAGGTGGTATTAATGGTTGGACAATAATTAAATCACGGTTTCACCATAAAATACTCTACCGTTAACTTTTATGGTACGGTTGGATACCGTTTCTTAAACTTTGACACAAATATATATATATATATATATATATATATATATATAAAATCCAAGCCAAATTGCATTTACTATTTCTTTAATGAATTTATTCCCCTCATAGTATCTATTATCTATTGATTATAATAATCCCCGCCAGAACTTACCTCAATCTCGTATATATTCGGCTAATGTTGGTGAGGATTGTACAAAATCATACATTACTAACATTAAAGAATTGGTTTATTATAAAAAAAAATTAAAGAATAAATTGAGGGCTATTCTCAAGAATTGAAAAATCCTATAGTATTAGCAGTGTTCGACTATAAATACTTCATATCAGAGACTAATCGATAGATAGTATTTAGTAGTATGAAACGATTGAACCACAATTTCAATATAAAATACCCTACCATTTATTTTCCGGTACAATATCCGATACGATTTTTCAATATTTTCTCTTTCAGTTCCATAGATTGCAAGTTGCAAGCAATGTTTGGTGAATGGAACAAACAAACGCAAGCTGGTCATTTATTATATATATAAAAATTAATAAAAAGAAGCAGCTGGTTGCTTTTACGTGCCAAAAAAATGAAAATGCTGAAATAATAAATTATAAGTTAGAGTGTATTACTCAGATCTCTCGATCACGTCATCGCAAATTCTAACAGTTACGCGACTGAATTTAATAACACAAAATACACACGCAATTTATATCATATATTTCCCAACAAGCTAAGATTAATTAATAGACAAACAAACTCACCAAGAAAAGAGGCAAGAGGCCTTGGTCTTGGTCAACAACAGCGAAATCCCCTTCAATGTAAGCGTCTGCCAGCCCTATATCGTTTCTCGTCATCACCTATATTTATTTATTAATTGTTAATCAAAATAATGCATATTACGCAACCTGGGATTTAATTAAGTAATTAAGTAGATGCGCAAACGCAAACGCACCTTCCAGTAGAAGTTAGGGTTGTGAAGCTTGAGGGATATTGCCTTGAATAGTTGGTTTTCATCATCACAGTCAATGCCTTGGAAAATAATTGGCGTGCCATCTTCAACTATACTGCATTTTCACCCATCAACATGTACGTACGAAAATTCAGCCAGTTTTGATTAACCGCTAATTATCAATTACCAGATAGATAGATAATATGCATCCATTATAAAATATAATTAAGTGAAGAAAACAAATAGAATTAAGCGAAATAATGTTTGAAAGTTTGAATGAAGGGGATGACGACGAGAACCCTAAAAATAGATCAAGTTTTTAGGGAAGAGTCAGGGGCTGCAGGCCGGTATGGTATGTACCACCGAAATTTTATTTATGATTACAATGAGCCCATATATTATTTATAATCTTTGAAATTTTGGGTTAAAAAAAATTGATTAAAAAAATATAAGAGACTAGACATGTCATTTAATTTCAACCACATCAAATATAATTGCATTAAAAAAAAATCAAAGAAGAAGATTTAGTTATGCAAAAATATATTATCTAACTCTAAGCTCGTAAGATGACTTTGCACAACCCACGAAGGGTGTAAGAAATATGAGGGATCTAAACAGCAAAGAAAGAAAGAAAGAGTAGTAGTATATATATATATATATATATATATTTGGTTTGAATATATATGAAGGTTTGAATAATTAGCTGATCATGCACGTACGTCAAAGATCCAGTGTTAATGCTGCGGCCGAGGATGGTAATGAAAAGGCTGCGAGCTCCAGATTCTACCCACTTCGCCATTTCCGTCTTCCTTCAAAACAGGCAAAGCAGGAAGCGAGAGGGAAGAGAGAGAGGTTTAGCCGAGAGAGAAGAGAGAAATAGAGAGGAAGCTAGGTTATCTCTTCTCTTCTGCAGATGAATCTCTGGATGGATCTACGGAGAGACGGTGGGTGGGGCAATTAAACTCCCCCCCCCCCCCCCCCCCCCCCCCGCCTGTTTAAATATATTCCATTTATATTCCCCAACACTCCAAAGAATTAGGGCGGGTTATTTGGTCCCGGACCGTTTGGTTTTACCCGAAATCGGACCGTATAACCCGGACCGAGACCGGACTGAGACCGGATAGCAAACAATGCAATCTCATATTCAGGCTTAGATCTGAGGTAAAAAACTGGATAAAGACCGGATAAGAGACCCCCAACACCTAAAATCAAGATAAAATTGGGACTGGATTGTATCCAATCCAATCTTTGGTCCTTATATTCCCGAAAAGACCTTGATTGGGACCGGATCAATTTGGTTCAATTTAACTGGACCGGACCGTATAGTCACCCCTACAAAGAATGACTGATGGGTGAGTTTATCTTGGGCGTGGTGTCGAATCATGTGGGCTTATTGTTTTAAATAATTAATTAACAATAATTCAAATTTCAATGCTGAGCTTGAACCGCACTAATCATTAGAGAGGAGAAGCGTTTTGCTAACTTAGAAACGTAAAATCGTAAGCTTTTAACCTTTAAATCGTAGATTCTAACTACATTTATAAGGAAAAGTGTGATTCTACGTAGAAGCGCGTTGGTGACCTAAAAGTGTAAAAACGTAAACTTCTAAGTTTTAAACCGCGATTTTGACTGCGTTGTCTGTGACTAAAGAAGAGTAGGTATGCTTTTCATTTTTCTTCATGTTCTTAATTACTAGTGCATGCCATACCCGTCAATGCATGCCACAAATTTTATATACCACACTTACAATTGTGATAAAGTATCCTTGCACCACTAGAAACTAAGCCTCACCAGAAACTTGGAAAAGTAGACCACTAGCTAGTTCCATAAATCACACTGGAAATCTCTCAATGCATGTCAGATTCCCGTAGTGTCACAAAGCATAGCATAAACGAGAGTAAGCACACAACAAGTGACATAAAACAAACATAAACCCAAAAAAATCCATGAAATAACAAAATCCGAGCCTTACCATAAACTTTAAAGAATAGACCACAAGTTCCATCAATCGCACCTAAGCGTGAGCTAGAAATAAATGGCAGCTAGGGAAGCAACGATGCCTCTTGAGTGCTATAGGTACCAAGCATAATTAATGAAGTATAATTTATCCATTTGGTTCTTTCTTTTAGGTGATCAAAATATCTACATAATTATCCATTATGTGAATATATGGACATTGAAGATGTACTTAGAATGCAATATAATTTATTTATTTCACGAACTCATACGTATTCTTGATTGTCGTAATACAATTGAAGGTTGGGATAATCTGTAGACGAAATAGATGATAAAAACAACAAATATTCAGAAAGTCAAATCATGATGAAAGAAAAATTGGATTCCAAAAACAAACCCATTATTCGCTTTGATTTGTATGGCCCCCAATTATTATATAATATCACTCAATTTGTTTTTTAATGGGTGCTCCAATATAGGAATAAAAGTTAAAAGTTGGGCGTCATAACTGTTCGACCAAATCTGCGTTGACCCACAAAGTTTATTTAAAACGTAACCTCCCATTAAAAAACCACAACCCGTGCTCTTTTCCATCCTTGTGCCACATCGATTCAATAATAAGCGGATGGGAAACGCTTGTATGGATCTCCTAAAGCCATCAGATTTCCTGGTCTAGAGAACACAACCTGCAAAAATAAATAAATAAATAAATTACAACATAAAACATCATAAATTCATAATTCGTTCAATAAAAAAAATTACCATTTTCCCATTATTATATAGAGACAATTAATTAATTACCTGATAATCCCCAAGCGTATAGGTTTTAAAGCCCGCAGCACAGTAGTCAAAATAATATTCCCACGTCCTTATGAACTTCTCGTCGAACCCCATCTCCATTATTTTGCTTATAAAGAAAGAATTTTGTTTAATTATGCATGCACAGTATATATTTATTATTATAATTTATCCATTTTTATTGGGATTATTATTGAGCGTAAGTGCTCATGGTATATATATTAGTTTCATGAGACATGAGAGTACCTCTTGTTTTTCAGAAGATTTTTCCTCCAGAGTCTTAAAGTGTAGTAGTAATGACTTCCAATATTTTCTGCATGCTCCACGCTATATATATATTACCAAAAATGGGCGTAAAATAGGGTGTATTTACAGAAAATTACATATCAATTAATTAGTTAATATACGTACATGTTTGAGTGATAATTTAGATTAATTACCATAATCCCGAAGAAGCATTCATGGCGGCTACAACTCTGCTGAATGAGGGCACGCAAGCGCCAGGGAAAATGTACTCTTTGATGAAATCCGAACTTTGACGGTATTGATCGTACCGTTCGTCAGCTACGGATATAAACTAGAGGGCAAGGAGGACAGTAAAATCAGCATACAAAAATCATCTTTATGTTAAAGTTAATTATCAATTATTATTCTGTTAATATTTCTCCAAAGGACAATTATAATTATTGACTTCAAGCAAGCTGATGATACATTTTATGTATAATTAATTTCTTATAAGAAATGAGGCATTTTAGAGAGAGAGAGAAATAAAACATGTGAAGATGTAGACCGAGAGTGACGAGTTTGCATGATTTTTGGGATATTAATTTCTTCATCATTTCTAACCCAAATCCTTCCAAGTTTCGAGAAGGACGACCAAATTATAAAGGAAAATATGGATTTAGCTATGGATCGGTGCTCTTCTTCCTCTTTATACACTTTTTCTCCTCTATGTTCTAATATACCTTGTCTACTTGCTTAGGTAGATGAGCTCTAACCTAGCGATTTGATTTGGGTATGTGTTGTAAAGTATGATTGTGAAGCTGTTAGGTAATTAATTGTGCTGAGAATAGGTTTTAAAGCCCGCAACACAGTAGACCTACTCATTAAAGGTCATGGTATAGTATAATGCCCAAAAATCCTGCTAATTCGAGATCTAGATAGCGTTTTCATACTCAAGGTATGCGACATCCCTCGGATTTCACTTGCCAATAGTTATAAACGTTGACTTTAGTTTCGACTGCATATGTGTTTGAGGAGTCTAACCCTAACACTCTAGGTATCATGTTGGTTACATGACCATTGAGCCAACTTAGCTCTATAGAAGAGTGATTAAGCACATGACCATCGATTTAATCGCTAGTCTAGGTGATTCCTTGCAATTTATAAGATAGAGAAACCTTCATTAACTTGCATTCAATCCATGTCCACCTATTATTACGAGAATTCAACCCTAAGCAATTACCTACATTTAGTGGTCTCCTTCGTAGTTAAGTTATGTTTCTTTCTTGTTATTAATGTAATTCACATTCAAACCATTACCATCTTGTTGATTAAATATTAGCTTGAGAGCAAAGAGTAGTAAGAGATTTGGTCACCATTTTAATACTTCGCCCATGATCTAGAGTTTACTGGTTTTAGTTTCGAGTTGTTAATATTGTTGACAAAACAAATATTTTAACTTAAGTTGAGTTTCAACCCTATCCATTAATAAAATACGAAACCAAATATATTAGCACTGCCCAATAAATAATTACCTGGAGAATAAATAATCCGTCTTTTGCCAAGACTGATTGGCATGAAGCGAAGAACTCATCCATGTATTCATGCCCAACATGTTCTATCATTTCGCTGCGATTATTATTAAGAAAAAGACCACGTTAAAAGTAATAAGTTAATAACTAATTACCGATAGAGTAATATACATATTGGGAGCATCTAAACTAGATTGATTGGTCATTAATTATATGTCTATACTCTTATCCATAGCTAAAAGTTAAATTCTAGTAATCAAATTGCAAGAGAAGAACACATTAAAGGCTACAAATATATTATTCATATATTGAATATTCGAGAAGGAGTATACATCAAGTATTATACATATTGTAGATGAATTTCTAAAATTGTATCATATCCAAGTTTCATTAATATTTAAAATACAAGCAAATAAAAAAAAAACAATGTGTACTTAAACTCACAAGTGTTCTTGATCATTGTCACATAATTGAGTATTTGAAATAATTTTGACCGTAAATTGGGTGACCGAAATGATGATTTTAAGTTAAACGAGTATATTATATTGATATATTCACCTAATTAGAGGATGTTTATGAAACCACTTCCTGATTAATTGTGAAGGAATACAACACGAGATCGTGTCTGCCACTTAATTGCTATCGTGCAATTAATTAAAACAGAGATAGAGATGAATAAGAAGCTCACCACGACACAATTCTGTCATATTTCTTTGTTTTGGGCAACTCGCGATAGTCGCACAGCAGCAATTGAATTGCATCCTGCATGTTCCATAAAAAAAAAGATAAATGTAGGTGATTTCTACATTCACATACCAATGCGCATTGTGTATTATTACTATAATCACATAGGGTTTATATAGAGTACAAAGAGTGACTTCTATAATAACCCGAACACTAATACGACTTTGATAAGGAATATAACTCTGTCCAATTACATAACAGTACTCGTAGTATAACATAATACGACTCGTACTACATATACTCTGATATGCATATTATTTCCGCCCTTTTCTATACATTTTCTTAAACATATATCTACTTATATGAGCGTGTCAAACCTTTTATTCTTATTATCTGCATACAATCAATCATACATATTCATTTGTTAGTTTTTTTAGTTCAAAATCTGTTAACTGCTATTTAATCGATGTGATATGATCAAATTTTCATGACAAAACTTCGAATGAGAGTGATCTCTTCAAACAAAATTTTACCCAACAAACTTACTCACTCTTCTAAGGGGTTGTTTGCTTCAGGGATTTGGTACATGGATTTGGTACAAAAAAAC